TTGTGTGTTTTCTGATAGTCAATCTGCTATTCAACTGTGCAAAAACCCTGTTTTTCATGATAGAACTAAGCATATTGATGTTATATTTCATTTTATACGAGATATTGTGAGTGCATGTCATATCAAGTTGATTAAAATTCCATCGGAATTTAATCCTGCTGACATGGGGACTAAATGTCTCTCGGTCGAAAAGTTGTTGTCGTGCAAACACACGTTAAACATTGATTGCGGATAAGTTGCCTGGTGATCTTACCCCGTTTGCCTGAATATGTCTCAGTGATTATTCGGGCAATCCAGCGATGATGAGTCCCAAAATTGTGTTAGAGTCTTGACTCTACACCACTCGGGTCCAATAAGGTGGAGAATATGTTGGTATTGGCCCAATATTAACCGTAAGCCCAGCTCAACTTAGGATGCACCCGGCCCATGGTCTTTTTCCCAATTCGGCACTGCGCCTTTCATCTTTACCGATCGGCTTCTTCTCTAAAGCGAGACTTTCCTTCCCTGCGCAATTAAGTGCGTATCTGCTTTGCAAGGTAACTTACCATCCTTGATGCCTTTACTCTGTCTATTTAACCCTCTCCTACTCTGCCGATTTTGGAGCTAGCGGAAAACCCTTCTTCCTAAATCGCACCTTTGCGAAGCCTTAGTTGAGTTGGCCGGAAAATAGCTTGAAGGCTGACGCCCTATTTTCTCCTTGAGACTGTTAGTGGTATATTCATCCTTTGTGGATGAAATTGGAGACCCGAGCTGGAAGATAGTCCGTATAACAATATGCTAAAAACAACACACTATTCTAGAAATAATTTAAACAATACAAATATAAATAAAACAATAATGATCTTCAATGGAAATGTAAAAATAATTTAAACAGCACGGATATAAAGTTATTTATCCTTTAGGTGATGTTATGTTCAAATCATATTTATAATTTTAAGAAATCATTATATTGAACTTTTGGTACCAAACCTTATTGAAAATGACGTTACATCTAAAGTTTCAATAAATTCTACCATCATCAGTTTTTTAGTAGCAACATGGAAAGTTTCATAACTTGACTCCATTTTATTTATTAATGTTTTAAAATTATTTTTTTGAAAAAGATTGTTGAATTCTACTCATTATAATTTTCATAATCTGATTTTTAATTCTTTTTACTAATAAAGTACGCACCTTAGGAGAGGAGCGGCGAAGGGGAAACCCTAGCCTCCTCCTCTTCTTCTTCCTCTCTTTGTTCAATTTTCTTTGGATCCCAATCATGAAACAGTTTCGTTGGATCAATATTTTCAGTTCTATGCATACGTCTATTTCCTAGCGTTGTCTAGAGATATTATTTTCGGTGGCGAAATGTCGCTCGCCATATTTATATTCCCCGCCATCATCGGTCGGGTGTTCTTGGGTGTTAGTAAGAGATTGCTTTCTTTCCGGTGGCTGGTGAAACCGGAACAATTTCTGCACTTGGCTCCCTACCGGTGGCTAGAAAACCAGCAAGTTTAACAAATCCTTTTCGGTGGCTGGTCAAACCAGACCTATTTCGAGTAGCACGAGCAGTCAAATTGCGGGACGAGTCTACATAGTTGCAGGGTTAGCGAATATGATAGCTTTTATATGGCTTTTTAATTCTCTGTCTCACTCTAGTGTAGCATTGAACGCTGTAATTGTAATGCTTCGGTTTTTTATTGTTATGTTTCTGGTTACCCTTATTAATAATACGGAGTAATTAAGTTATTGATTTTCAAAAAAAAAATCTTTTTACTAATAAAGAGTGAAACATAATGACGATCAAAGTTGTGCATTGACAAGTGTGAAAATGAGAATGCTGCAACTAACAAAGAACGAATGAAGCATACTTTTGATGTGGACATGTAGTAAGTGTCTGAAAATAAAGAAAAAATCAATTAAATAAAAATAATTAAAATGACCAATGAAAAACCTATGTTTAAAAAACCGACCCGGCCGGGTTGACCCGGAACCCGGTGACCCGGACGAAATTCCGGTTCAGTTTCTTCAAAACCCGAAAATGGTCAAAAACCGGAAAAACCCGGCTGACCCGAAAAAATCCGATCCAGACCCGACCCAAGAAACCCGAAAAACCCGGGGAAACCCGGTTTTCGGTCTTTTCCAAAAAAAAAAAAAGTAATTTCTTTTTTAATTTTAATGCATTTTTTAAACCTATAAAATTGCAATTTCAATTCCCTAAAAAGAAAAACTATGTAATATATTTATATATTTATTTAAGAATGAAAATCATGCCAAATTATAATATAAATGTACAATACAAATAAACATATATAATGAGAGTGTATATAATTATATGTTTATTATTATTATATAGACGTTTAATCGTTGACCGGTTTTCCGGCTTTGACCGGGTTGACCCTCCGGGTCCGGGTTGACCCGTGACCCAGTCACATGACCGGGTCGCTCACCGGTCCGGTTTTTACAACATAATGAAAAACAAGAAATGAGATGGAACAGAATTTAGCCAAAGCTTGTGCTACGCACGATGTCCTTAAACGTATTCGTTGCCTCCCGGGGTGCTTGGAGCGCCGCAACGATCGTTTCCCAGGATACGATGACTACGAACAATTGTTTGAGCACTCAAACGAATTGTTCCGGTGAATGAGAACAAATACGAACACAGAAGGAATTTTTTCGGAATGCTAGCATTGTTTTTCGAAAGCTCAAAAGTACTTGAGTTCGTTTTTTGAATTGTCTGTTGTTGCAAACCACCTGTCATCCATTTATAGGAGGATTTGTTGCGTGTTAAGTGACCTTTAATGGACCTGAACGTTGGACATAAATGACCAGCACGTTAGTCATTAATATGTCGTAAAACTGTCCATTTAAAGACGCATTAAAAGATAAGAACAGTGAGCATTAACAACTATAACGGACAAGAACTGTTCTCGTGCGCGACCAGAACAGAACACCCCCATGTCTTCTGCCCGAGCTCCGTAGCAGAGGACCCCCAGGCCTTCTGTCCGAGCTTCGTAGCAGAGGCCTTCTGTCCGAGCAGTTCTGGTGCGGAAGAAGTGTTATGTCCGAGCAGCAGTTCGGGGAAAAATAAAACGTTACGGGATTTGATTCGCACCCCCCCTGCGCGCAAAGAGAGTCTTTCCACCCAAGAATCTTAACTCCTTAGAATAGGCTTCCCTTGGGTTTTCCGGTGTAGGAAATAACCACTAGAAACCCACCTTTTTTCCCTCAGTTTTTCCATTCTAACGAGTGAACTTCGAGAATCAATTTCTCATTCACTTGTTATCCATTTTGAGCGTACCACATATCGCATTGTAGCGCTTAACAAGGACAATCCGAAAGCACTTTGACCCGACCCAAATCGGAAGTGGATCTCATTCAAAATATTCTACCAAAATTACCATTTAATGCAATTTTTCAACCCATTTTTCCAACATTAAGTCGGTATATGAGAGTATCAACATTTTATTACCTTAAATGACTTTCTTTTGCTATGGACTAAAATGCAATCTTGTAGGCACGTAAAATACTCCTCCATCTTGGGATATTTTCTTTTGGACTGTTTTCAGTCCCAGACCAGACCAGATCAGATCAGATCAGACCAGACCAGACTTCCATAGTTATAAAATACACAAAGACCAGATGTTTACAAGACCAGACCAGACCAGATCAGACCAGACCAACAAATTTCAGTCCAAAAGAAAACATCCTTGGTCCAATTTTACATTTTTCGTTTGTCTCATTAAATTTGTTATCACATTTGATACAAAGTACTACATCCGTCCCGCTAAGATTGTCCCGTTTTACCATTTCGGTCCGTCCCACTAAGATTGTCTCATACCAAATTTGGAAAATTTGTGTGGCTTTAAATCATTCTTACATTATTCTTACTTTATCAATTCAATATCAACCACATAAATCATTTTTATTAGTTTGCGTGTCACTCCCTCTTGTCCCATTGTTAGTGGGACAGAGAGAGTAATATTTAAATGATTCACACCGTCTCACTTTTTCTAATAATAAACATAAGTCATAATATATCACTCCCTCTAATCGAGTTTAATGCACCAAACCCCCTCGTAAAATATAAATTCAGCGCATTAGTCCCCCTGTGATTTAAAAAATGCGTCAAACCCCCCTGTATTATAATTAATCATGCGCAAAACCTCCTCAAAGAATAAATTTTACAATTTTCAAATCACTCTTTTTAATAATATGGTTGAATATGCAAGTAACTTTGTCAAAATTTCTAAATTATACAAAAAAACTAATCATTTTTCAAGTTTTTGAAAATTAAATTTGTTCTTGGAGGGGGTTTGACGCATGATTAATTATAATACAAGAGAGTTTGACGCGTTTTTTAAATCATAAGGGGCTAATGTTTTGAATTTATATTTCACGAAAAGGTTTGGTGGATTAAACCATGGTAGCGGACCAGATCACGAGAGTAGGGGACTTTACCTATGGGATGATTGGAGGATACTTTGAGTGGTTTTGTTGGTAAAGTTTTGCGTAAAAATACGGTTGCCGAGTGCAGACGACATCGTGTCACCGTGATATTGATTTAACTGTCACTATTAATTAACGTTAATGAAACATTATACAATTTTAAAGAAAATGGCTATATGACCATAAAAAATAGGTCCAGTAAAGTTAGTAGCATCTATTTTATTTAATGAAGTATATGACACTTTTATTATTAATATAAAGCCGGAACACTTTTGCTAAGTACTCCGTATCTATCTTCCATTCCTAATTATAGTTAGTTACAGTCATATACCAGGACGGAAAACATATTAAACTTTGTATTGCATTGCAAATAAATTTTCTATGTTCAAGTTTGGAGAATGGCGTAGAAACAACCAGATGTCTCTTTTATTACTATCATAGATTCGAAAAGAAAGATACTTGTAACTTTTTCAAAGCACTATAACTCCATTTATTGCCAGAATTCAAGTTAATTTTTTCAAATAGCACTATAACTCCACTTTTATGAATTTATCATCGATCAAGTATATCAAGGAGTATATATTTTTGTGTTATACCTTTTCTAATCATGAGTATAGAAGATCGTAGCCCCAGGCTAGAGACAATAGTCCAAATATTAAAGCAAATCCATTCCAAATTTCAATATTATTTGAGTATGAGATCGAATACGACGACCTTGTTCTAGGGTTATGGGTTATGTTGTTACTGATATGAAAATCAGAATTATGAGTCAATCGTGCCTTCTCCATAGAGGTGTGATCTGTAATGGAAGAAAGCAGCGGATTTAGCGCGGTAGTTAGAGAGAAGAAACTGCCGTAAGGACTCTAACGTGACCGTGAATTTCCTTAAAGGCTATTTAGCTTATTTTTACTAACTTATGATATTAACTTAAAGTTACCTATTAAAGTGTGTACATACACCCAATTTTCTCTTTTAAAATTTCAAAATTTCCAATTTTCCCCATTTTTGTTTCCATATTCATTAATGTTTTTATTAACTCCGGATCATTTTCATCATTCAAAAAAACGAGAGAACCCCACTGGCTCAACCACTTTGTCTCTCTATCTGTCTCGTTGATAATTTGTAGGGGTCCATACTCCATAGTTAATCAAACAGTTCCTTGGCTCTAAACCACTTATTTTCTTCACTAGTTGAAAAAACTTTGGTACCTTTTAAGATAAGGTGTAATCATGTAGTTTAAAACCCTAATCTTTAACCATCTTTGAAGTAGTTCAAAATTGAAAAAGTAAGCATTGTATACATCTCTCCCATTCTTTAAGTAGTTCCCTTTTCTTTTGGTTATTTGGACTCTGAAGATTCCTTGTGTAGGCTTTGCTCAGAGGACCAAAGATTCAGCACACTGTTCATATGGCTTGGAGGAACAAGATGCCCAATTTCAGTAATGTGTTTCAGGTTTTTTTGTCCTTTCATTCTCTGTTGTATATACTCCGTACAATTTATGTTTGGCTTTTCTAAATCACTCTAAATAAATTAATTGCCTTTTTGTATAGCATTTCCATTCTTGTATCTCGCTCACCCCATATTTTTCTGTAGTTCTCTGAAAGATATTGGTTGGTTCCACTAAGCTTGTGTGCTTGATTTAGAGAGAATTAACTTTTCCAGTTCTGCAGAAGTGGGCTAATGGTGTGTTTAGATCCAAGAAAACTAAAGAATATGAACAGTTTTCATTAAATTTGTTGGTAACCTTGTGTGTGAATTGTGAACCAGATGGATCTTTAATGTTGGGGTGTTATGCTGTACTTGCTGATGGTGCTGGAGAGTCTTTTTTGTTACTGCTGAAATTATACTAGGAAGAATGTGTAGTGCCCATAATAAATTTGGAATCCCAAGAATCATTGCTGGTATATGAAGCATTAACCTTCCCCCCACCCACAAAATAAAAAGAGCCTTCATTTCAAAATAAAATTTTGTCCAAAAACAGTGTCAGTAGTTAGTATAACTCCAATTAAATAAAGTCAAGTGATTTTATGATGAATTTAAACCAACAAATCAACGGGGGGAAATGTAGATTAGTAATTCATAAGATGTGGAAAGACATGACCTTTTTATGGAAGGCACTTTAGATTTCTTGTTTTGGACTTTTGGATCAATGCATGAATTGCACTTGATGTGGTTTTTCTATTTCTCATAGAGCTATGCATCTACAGTGAAAAAATCGTAGGGAAAAAGAAAAATGTTAAGCAATTTTTAGTGTTTGGTTTTACACAATTACCCAGGATAATACGAAGGAAAATCAAATGTGGTAAGAACTTTTTAAGTTCTTACATAAATTTAAGTTCAAGTCTTTATGTAATATAGACAGAAATATAAAAATAAAATGAGTTCATATAAAATATCTATAATTGTAATGTTGAGTTTGATCCCAAAATTTAATTCCCCCAGTATCTCTATCTACTTTCGTTATTATTATTTTGTTTCCCTAGAATTTCCTGGGATCCAAATGAACCTTAGAATTCTCAATTTGTTAAAAATTGAACTGAGCAGGGTACCGCAATGGAGGTGGAGCCAGGATGCCCACACACAATTAAGTCCCATGGTTCAACAGTTGCATGGGATCACAAACTAGACTGGCTCATTCTCCTCTTCCTCCTGCTCTTGGAGGTCATCCTCTACATGATAGGTCCATTCTATCGTTTTGTAGGTGCTGACATGATGTCGGATCTCAAATACCCCATGAAAGAGAACACTGTCCCTGTTTGGGCAGTTCCTGTAAGTTAATACTTCCACATTTTCATGATAAGTAGTTACTTTCCAGGTTCCACTATTATGAACGCTCTGTTGTAGCTATTTGTAGCCTTAAGTATGTCATCATCAAGGGCTTGCTATGTGAATGGGACTAAGGTGCTATGCTAGCCCACATAAGAAGAATATAAAAATACAAGCATCATATTGTTCCTATGTTGCACGGAAATGTGGGAAGCATGGGGAAATAGGAAACAGGAAACATCATCTTTTAATTAAAAAAATTACTGTTTGGAGAGTTTCCTTAGAGATTCCGAAACAAAAACATACTTTTTCTTGAGAGTTTCCGTGCTTCATAGTATTGTACAGTGCTTTAAGTTATTCTTGTTAAGCTATCTGATATGGGGCAAGATAAAGAAACAAACCAACATATAAGGCGTTAGGCTACTCATATTTGAACTTGAGATAGAACCAAAAAACTTAATACGCTATTCGAGCCAATTAAACTCAAATGACTAGTCAATGCGATTAAGACTAAAAAAGTGCAATTTCAAGATTGATCAACTCCAACGAGCGACCATCTAATAGAAACATGTTAAGCTATCTACACATGCCAAGTAAGTATATAGATACAAACCAACATATACAGTTTAATTATTTCTATTAGGTTGACCTTTTTGTAATATAATACCCAAACCTTAATAATTCTTCCTAAAGTTTGGGATTTAAGATGGAACTCAAGTCTTATTATACTATAAAATACTGTTGAGTTCAAGCAAGTAATTAGATCCGGGTAAGTCTTTAAACTCTAAAGTAAAAATAAAATGATTAAATGGAAGTCAAGATTCTAATTCAAAGAGCACATGTACTTCAATTTTGCAACGATGTGCAATGCATTTATTGTATGTTAAGGTTTTCTTTTTCAATAATGTGTGTCAATGAACAGATCATTGCAATTCTTTTGCCTATTGTGATCTTCATTTTCTTCTACCTTCGAAGGAAGGATGTCTATGATCTACACCACAGTATACTAGGTAATTTATTTTTGTAGTGAAGTTGTTATAGAAAGTTACTAAATCTAATAGTTGTTCACAAATTCTTAACGTGACAGTGAAATGAGATTCTGCAAATATTGGACTAAAGATTTCTGTAGTTTCTCATAGTTTGCTAACACATGAAATTGCAGGACTTTTATTTGCTATACTAATAACTGCCGTCATGACGGATGCAATAAAAAATGCAGTTGGCCGCCCTCGACCTGACTTTTTCTGGCGTTGCTTTCCAGACGGACGGGATGTAAGAATTCAGAAGACTTATTTAATTCTCTTATACATTCACACTACAATGAGTGTCAAAACTGCTTATTTTTTCTACATCATTTTAAAAAAACTAGGTTCACTTGATTAGGGATTATATTTTAATTTCTGACCAATGTGAAAATACTTCGTTTAATGTGGAGATGATGATGAGTAAATACTACTCCGTAATAAGTTAATAACTAATGCATGAGACTTATTTATCTGCATGATTCGTTTTTGGTTTTAAACAGTGAAAAGCGAGATTAGTTGTTATTTACTTTTCAAAAGAAGAAGAAGAAGATGATTAGTTGTTACTTTTGCCTTATTGGATCTCTATGTAATTCTTTCAGCTTTATGATCGTTGGGGCAATGTAGTATGCCATGGTAAAGAAAGTGACATAAAAGAAGGGCATAAGAGTTTTCCAAGTGGTCACACTTCATGTAAGTTTTTTTTTTTAATTTGTTTTGATCTTTCAAAGATGTCTCTGAGATTGTATGGAAAATTGTTTCATGAATGGGTGAAAGAAAAGAATACCATGTTTCTTATTTTTCATTCCCATGTATGTTGCCTTCGGTTTTCATAATGTATGACTGTTCTTTTCTATGTTTGCATCTCTTTTTGTCTTTAAGGCTATTAAAATATTGCTATAATTTATGATAGTTGTACCTTACAAAACTGAACACACACACATATGCGCACTGATCATAATACTCTTGTTGTATATATTAAAATTTGATGTTCAATCCTATGGGTTGGCACAGTATTATATCACAAAGAGTTTTATTTCATGGCAGAAAATGGGGGTTTTGTCTTCTGCAGGGTCATTTGCTGGCCTAGGTTTCCTATCAATGTATTTAGCAGGGAAAATTAAAGCTTTTGATCGTAGAGGACATGTGGCGAAGCTATGCATCATTTTTCTTCCTCTTCTTGTAGCATCTCTTGTCGGCGTTTCTCGTGTGGATGACTACTGGCATCATTGGCAAGATGTGTTTGCTGGGGCCCTCTTAGGTTTGTTTCCCACAGACATTAATTGAACACTAAACTCAAGTATGCTTGCATCTTCTTTACTCTATTATTATATTATAACCCTTAATTTCAGGTCTTGTAGTGGCAGCATTCTGCTATCTGCAATTTTTCCCGCCCCCATATCACTCTCAAGGTACAGTCTATCTCTTTCCATCTGCTACACAATCCATTCATGTAATACTATTATTCCTCTGGTTCTTATTAGAAGACCAGACACCTTTTTATATGCCATTTTATTCCATTTGCATAATAATAATTGGTATTTGTTATTATGTTATATAAGGTTGTACACCTTATGCGTTCTCCCGAGCTGTGGAAGAGTTTAGAAGTAATTCACGAACTCGGTCATCTGCAAATGGACAAAATACGTCGCAGTGCTTAGCATTGCGAGTTGCAAACCAGCCAACCATTGATCCACTTCATATTTTGGAGTGTGGCAACAGGATACAGAGAAACAACCTTTGACTCGGTCAGGTCAAACTTTCCATGTAAGGATGGACTTGCTTCTTGTAAATATTTAGTTAGGTAAGAATTATCACTTTTAGTTGCAACATTCTGTAACCATTTCCTCCCTTTTCCATTAGTTGAACCATAAGTAAACTTCCCTCCTTTTCTCTATTATCACCTTTTCATTGTTTAGCTCCTATAATAATCATATAGTGAGTGTTTGAGGATGCATTGATGCCGGATGGCCTTGTTGCTTCAATTGTATGTACTATATGGATCAGTTTAAAAATTTAAAATTGACTTCCTAAGTCAATGACCAACTCAAAAGGCATTTCTATTTTCTATTTTCTCTTATAGTAGTAGTAGTAATAATAACAATAATACTAATAAAGGAAAAGTACACCAAAGTAATTGAGGATTTGTGATTAGGGGTATTTAATTTAGGATATTTTCAATTGAACTGAAGTTTCCTAGTCTACTCTAGAGTCTAGTCTAATACTCCCTCCATATTTTTAAGAATTTTACATTAGGTTTGATACATTATTTAAGGAGTAAAGTAGTAAGAGTAATGAATAGTGTATAAAAAGTAGGAGAGAATGTGTAAAAGTATGAAAGAGAAGATAAAAAGTAGGAAAAGTGAGGGTAATTGAGTCTTTTCTAAAGGGTAAACTTACCAAAAGTGGAAGTGTATCAAACTTTTAAATACATCCTAAAATGGAAAGTTTAGCAAACATTAAAATACGGAGGGAGTAATACGCATGTATATATGTGTGTATTTTTCTATAGGATTTTTGAATGTTTTGTTTGGTTTTTCTTTTTAAAAACTTTAAAATAGTTTAAAATAACCATTGATAGTTTTATTTTTTTTACCTCATTTGAAATATTTGAACTACCTAACTTGACTAACTACTTTAAAATGAAGCAATTTTATCTTGATAAATAGGTAATAATTAATAAAAAGTTCACAATTACTAGGGTTTTGACCTTAATATTACCAATATATGGATGATTGACAAAAAAGTGACATTTATTTATTTTTGACAAAAAAGTGACTGAAAGTAACGGTGCTACAGTAACGGTGTAACGTTGCTGCAATGACATTTGCAGTGGCATTTGTTGTGACACCACTAAGACAATTTTACAGTGACAACATCATAGTGACTCTATTCCACAGTGTCTATCGCCCGCCCACCGGCCGCAGTGACACTGTCACTGGTGACCCCACCATAGTGACACAACCCTTCATCGGCGCCGCGACAATGACACAATGGTTCCGGCAACAGTGACGCTGCCACCGCCGCTCAGCAACATCAACCACCATCCCCACACCTAGCCGAACAGCAACACCGGCCACCATCCCCACACCCAAAAGCCAGTCTGCAACCCTAGTTCGTACCTTCAGCCCCGACCAGTCACCGCCGCACCACCTTACCTGCCCATCGAACAGTCGCCCCAACATCCATAACGTAACCCCATACCCCTCCTCACCCAACCCAACTTGCCTCATCCAACACCGTCCCCTGCGTCACCCTCTGGCACCACCACGCTCCAACCCCATGCCCTAGCCCCCACCCACCTCCCTAGCATCCACCCCCTCCTCAGCCCCAATCACCTCCCCAACCCCCTCCCCAGTCCCCATCCTGACCACCAGCTCCCCCATCCTGACCACCAGCTCCCCCATCCCATCTCCATGGCCTGTCTCTTCTCCACAGCCCCACAACACCCCCACAACCCCGCCCAGCAACGACGCACCCTTGCCCCACAGCCCCACTCCAACCACGCCGCACCATAACCCCCCAACAACGCCGCACCACAGACCTTCAAGCATCGCCTTACCTTCCATCCTCGCCCCTGTGGAACTTAGATCTGAAAATCAACTTAGATCTCAAACTTGCGAATCGACGAACTTCCAAAGAGATGCAGCAAAGAGGAGGCCCGACAGCTTGGATCATCAAAGAAGATAGCACCATGGCTGTGCGAAGAGAGAAGCCCGAGGACTTCCGACGAGGTGCAATAGGGAGGAGGACCGGCAATTGGAGCGTCGAAGAAGATGGCGCCATGGCCATGCGAAGGGAGAAGCCTTCGGACCCTGTGCTGAAGGAAGATCGATTGCTAAATGTTGCTACGGGCGTGGGAAGAGAGATCGACGGAAGAAGCTCGCATAGAGGGAGCTGTTTGGACGGAAGAGAGAAGCTCGTAGAGTGGGAGCTGTTTGGACGGAACCGAGAAGCTCGGAGAGTGGGAGCTGTTTGGATGGGAGGGAGAAGCGGGATGGTAACTTTTGTGTTAATTTTAAAAGGAGTCATATTTTTGTCCCATAAAAGTTGGGGAGTAATATGCTCTTAATTATAAATTATAATACTTGTGCATTTGTACATTTGTACCTTAAAGTTACATGTCTATAAGTTCACAGTTATCTTATAATAACTACCTTATTAATTCTATTACATGCTTGATCCATTCTTTATTTAATACGAAGTATAATTTTATCAATGAAGTACTAATTGTGTGATGAATGATTGTTTCTAAAAAAAGTTTAATTACATAAACGTGTATACTTATATTATATTGGGAGGGAGTATGAAATTAAATCCCACTCCTCACCACCATGCCACGTCTGGTCGCCAGTCGTCGTCGGCCACCGCCGCCACTGCCGAACTGGTCGCCGATGCAGATCTGGTCACTGCCGCTGAGGATCTGGTCGTTGTCGCCGCAGATCTTGCCATCGTCACTATAGATCCGACCAGATCTGGCCGCCCCTGGCTGCCAGCTGCCGGCCTTGTAGATTTGGCCGTCGCCAGATTAGACCCGACCTCCGCCGTTAGAGATCCAACCTCCGCCGATGTAGATCTGACAGATCCTGTTGCTTATGCCAACATTTTTATCAAAATGCCAAACATGAATCCAGAATGCCATCCAAATGGCATTTTCACAACAAATTATGGAGTTTTTGAAGTGTAAGAATGCCATTTTGATGGCATTTTCAGATTAAATTTGGAATTTGTTAACAGCCAAATACCACACAGAGCTCTGAGCTCTATTCCGGTATTCCTGCCACGAAAAGATGAAGCAAGAACCTGCTTTGTCGGACTTTTGCAGTCATCCTGTGGGCAACAGCTCACCGCCGTTCATGGAATTTTCCGGTTGCTTTCAATTCATCATCCCACCGTCGTCCATGACTTTGCCGTTCGTTGCCTGGGAGTCGTTGAGCACTGACCTGCGAAACAAATAGAAAATGAAGAGAAAAAGAAAAGGGGTCTTGGAACTTGAGTGGAGCGGACAAATAATTAAGGGTAAAACGGGAATAATACGGAAATGTGGTCCTATTCAAGAACAGGAACAAAAGCACCCCCATGTGAGCATATCCGGTCTTTTTTAGTCCCATTTACAACCAATTTTCCTTACATTTGAGGTACATAATACTTACAAAAAGTCTTACAAAAGAGGTATGTTTAATATTATTTAACATTATTTTTTTACATTAGAGGTACATAATACCCACAAAAAGTCTTACAAAAGAGATATTGTTTAACATAATGTTAAACATATATATTTTAGGAAATTTTGATATATTTTTTGTAATAATCGGAATACAAATAAAAAATATATAACACTTTAAAAACAGATACATAATAATTTTTAAAGTATTAAATTAGTTTTTGATTTTATATACTCCCTCTGTCCCAATATAAAAGGCACACTTTCCTTTTCGGTCCGTCCCAATATAAAAGGCACATTTCCCTTTTTGGCAAACAAAACAGTGTCAAACAGTGCCAAACAGTGCCAAACAGTGTCTAAACAGTGCCAAACAATGTTCAAACAGTGTTCACCCTTAAAAAGTCCCCAAACGCAAATGTGCCTTTTATATTGGGACGGAGGGAGTATTTACTATTGGTGTCATATGAAAGATAAAAAAAGTTATGAATTTTGATATACATTTTGTAACAATCAGAATACAAATAAAAAACTTATAACACTTCAACGAAAAGAGAGGATTTTTAATTTGGTTGGGACCATTACTTTTTACTTTGGCATTGCTTACTTTCGTGACTTACCTTAAATCTATGTTGTAAAAACCGGACCGGTGAGCGACCCGGTCATGTGACTGGGTCACGGGTCAACCCGGACCCAGAGGGTCAACCCGGTCAAAGCCAGAAAACCGGTCAACGATTATACGTCTATATAATAATAATAAACATATAATTATATACACTCTCATTATATATTTTTATTTGTATTGTACATTTATATTATAATTTGGCATGATTTTCATTCTTAAATAAATATATAAATATATTACATAGTTTTTCTTTTTAGGGAATTGAAATTGCAATTTTATTGGTTTAAAAAATGAATTAAAATTAAAAAAGAAATTACTTTTTTTTTTTGGAAAAGACCGAAAACCGGGTTTTCCCGGGTTTTTCGGGTTTCTTGGCTCGGGTCGGGTCCGGATCGTATTTTTTCGGGTCAGCCGGGTTTTTCCGGTTTTTGACCATTTTCGGGTTTTGAAGAAATCGAACCGGATTTTTGTCCGGGTCACCGGGTTCCGGGTCAACCCGGCCGGGTCGGGTCGGTTTTTTAAACATAGCCTTAAATTTGATAAAGCCACTTCAAGTTCAAGCCACGGCTCTCCTTACCCATATTAATGCGACAATATTTAGGAAATTATTTTTAACCTAATAATATTTTGTAAATTATTTATTTAATTATCATCCACAATCCTTGTGAAATTTGTCAATAAATTTGAATATCACCCATGCCAAAGTTCCAAAAAAATGGGAAAATTGTTCATGGTCACCTATCCGTCGCAAAAGAAAGTTCAAATCTTATAGAACAAGCCAAACATCCACAATCCTTCTCCCGCACAGATAGACACAGACTGGTGGAGGGAGCACAGAAGTTTACCCATGGTACGACTCTCCCTGTTTTAGCTGCAATTATGGCCGTTTTATTCATAAACCTATCATCTTAGTGGTTTTTCATTTCGTTGTGAATTCAAAATTTGGCTCCACATTACAGGACGACTCCGCTGATGAACTCGAACCCCTCTTCGATTACCGTCGCGTGCAACCTTTCAATGTCGTTTGCCTCGATGGTACGCGCTCTCTCTCCTGTATTCATGTCAATGGGGTGTGTGTATGTGTTTGTTTATGACTGTTGACAGATTCCTTTTCCTTTCTTAATTTGGAAGATGACAGCCCACAATCTTCGCCAGTAGCTGATTCAAAAAGGCCGAAAACTGGCGGTTCTGACGTAAGAAGCTTCAATTCTTTATGAATTTGGATTATTCCTATCTTCTTTTCCAATTTGACTATGTGTGTGATATTAGAATGGTATTTGACTATTTGGATTATACCATCTCATGTATTTATGGTATTTGATATTAGAATGGAGAAAAGCAGGAAAAGAAAGATGTAATTCAAGTAATGGATTGTGATGGAAATGATGATGAAGAATGGCTGCGCCCCCCACCAATGGTTTCAGCTAATACTAAAACGCATTGCGAGAATGCAACCATAAAAGAAATAAGGTACAACCGCAATAAGATGCCTAATGTTTTACAAAATGTGTTCTTAAAAAGCACTAATGACGTGGGATTGGTAACTTGCTCTATTTTCTGTTTGAGGTATACTTGTGTTTGAGTGTCACACTTCAAAAGGTCAAACTTGTACTGATATTCTCTTTCCATATTTACATGCTTAGTCGAATGGCCAAACATAAATGGAGGCAATGAAAAGTTTATTGTGTGGCAAAAAGGCAATAATCATAATATGATCTCATAGAGGTCTGACTTCCTAATGATTATGCAGTACATATTATGACGGTATTACCTATGTTTCCCCTTTCCCCCTCCCCCACTCAAAATAGGGAAAACAAAGACTTACAACATTCATTTTTTGTGTCTAAGGAGAGGCGTGTTTCAAAAAATGCAGCTAATTTCCCACTGAATTCAGTAGTTATATTTTCATTAAAAGGAGTTCGATGCATGCTGATTTGATCATTTCAGTTAAACCTGCATATTAAGCGGTAAACGAGTGTTATTGATAAACTTATACTCCATCCATTCCTAGAAATGTCCCTCTCTTCGACTTGACATGCTTATTAAGAACATTGAAATTATGTAAATCCATTCAGATGAGAGAGGCAGAGTTGAACCACATAAAGAGGAGCATTAATTTGAGAAGTATGAATTAGGAAAGAGGAACTTTTTAAGGGACAGAAGGGGTATTTGTTATACCCTATCAAAATTAGAAAGGTTTGCCTTGGTGAAATAAAACTCCTTTTATGAGGATTAAAATGCAAAATGAGTGTATTATTATAATACTATGCATGCTCATTATGGTCAATAAGTCAATTTTACAATATTGAGGGTGCATTAATATCCAGAGGTGCAGTAGTGCTACAAGCCTACAGTTTTTTCCTGCATGTATTACTAGTTTTGCAACCGTAGCAATATGTCTGGACACCCAAGTCACTAAGTTGCTCATTGGTATCTATGGAGTGGTTCCGATAATGTGACATGTGAGTATCTGACTATCTGAGGGCACCTTATTTTACTTAGCTTCATGATTGATGAAACTATTTCCAAATGAGTATTTCTTTGAGTTTCCCCTTGGATGTTTATATCAACTTCTAACTTCTCATGTGACTATGTGAGGAAATAACAGTTTTTGAAATATCATCAAGGCTTCTTTCTTTTATTTTATGATAAATTTCTATTCTCACTTGATTGGTTTTTGGAAGCTGAATGTTCAAGTTAGATGAAATTGGACCCAGGTATTCCTATTCTTCAAATATGCTAGAATCAGTAAAATGACTTAGAGCATCTCCAATGCTACAATGTGCACGGTGCACATGTGGCATGAGAGAGATAGACACAAAAATTAAATTTATGACATTTTTCTCTCATTTTTTCTACGGTTTTATGTGTTTTTGGTAAATTTTCATCTGCAATGTCAAGCACAATGTCTACATCTAGACATTGTGCTTGACATTGTGAAGAAAACCTTACCAAAATGATACAAGATCCTTCAAATAAGGAGAGAGATATTCTATTTATTATTTTTTAATTGGCTATCTCTCATGCCACGTATGCACCGTTCATGTTTTAGCATTGGAGATGCTCTTATATACTTTTGAAGGAACTACCTATTACTCATTTTATAGTCTACCTGTTTCAATATTATTTATAAACTGTTGACTCAATGATTATTTGCTACTTCCAGGTTTGTTTTCAATCCTCTTTATAAACTGATAAGGATCTTGGAAGTCAGCCCAATACAAATAATAGCATTGACTATTATGACCGAGTTTATTCGAGGAAAAAGACTAATAACTAAGATATGTTATATTTCGTATGCGGGGAAGGGGAATACTATAAATAGCAACTATTGTAATAAATGAGGTAGGCTGGTTTTGGCTTTTGTTAGGCTGGGACTTGGAGAGAGGCATCTCTTAAAACTGCCAGACGTTGTTCTCTCTCTTGTTTGTTATACGAACTCTTCCCAATTACTGTAAATCCCTCGTTTTCCCATTATTGTTGCTGGATTACTTTAACGCAGGTCTGATCCTTATCATTGGTATCAGAGCCTCGATCGAGGTACCTGTGTATGGTTGCTACGCGACGTGCGATGGAAGGAAGAATGGAAAATGTGGAACGGGAATTGGCCAGGCAGTCTGCGGCGATGGAGCGAGAACTGGCGAGGAATCGCGAAGAGGCTAGAATCATAAACGAAGAAGGCAGAGTCAGGAGCGAGGAGGCGAGGCGAGATATGGAGATACTTTGTGAGTTGATGATGAAAAAGCTCAATCATCACTCTCGTAGTCGATCAACCACATCCAAACACAGTGCGAGACAGGGGAGTAGCGACTCCAGCTCCTCATCAGGTAATCATCGATCAACTTCCAATAGGCACAATGATGATCATCGTAACTGGATTGAGAAATCGGGAAGGAAAGTAAATTTACCACTTTTTAATGGAAATGATGCTTATGGATGGACTATTAAGGTGGAACGATTTTTTAAGCTGAACCGAATTGAGGATGATGATAAACTTGAGTTGGTGACTCTCTCTATGGAAGGAAGGGCCTTAAATTGGTATCAATGGTAGGAGGAGCATGCTAATGTTAGGAGCTGGGAACTGTTTAAGGAAGCTTTGCTGCAGAGATTTGAACCTGGACTAGATCAGGATCCATATGGTCCATTGTTGAATAGAAAACAAACGGGGAGTGTAATGGAATACAGAGATGAATTTTAGCTGATAGCAGCCCCGCTGAAACACACTGATGTACAAATACTCAAAGGAATTTTTATGAAGGGATTGAAAGCAGAAGTTAAGGCCGAATTGAAGAAAAATCCTGCAAGAACCTTGACAGAGATAATGAATAAAGTTTTGAGGATAAAGGAGAGTAACAGTATCCTCAGTTCCAACAAGTACAGGGAAGAGGATAGAAGAGGATCCAAGGAAAAAGGGAGTGTTCCTTCACAGCATCAAAGATGGTTGAATGAACACAGATGGAAAACCACCTTGGCTAACCAGTCCGGACCTGAGAAATCCATTACAGAGAAGAGTACTGAAGCAGTTAATAAAGGAGTGGGACTGAGAGGAACTCACAGGCTGTCACAAGCTGAGTTACAAGAATTGAGCAGGAAAGGCCTCTGTTTCAAATGTGGGGAGCAGTGGGGCAAAGGACACGTCTGTAAGATGAAGCATTTTCAAATCATTATGCTTGATGACTCTGAAGAGGAGGAAGAGGAAAAGGGCAGCACTCCAGTACCTATCCATGAAGATGAAGACCTTGATCCTCCAAGTATGCAACTGTCCTTGATGAGTAAAGAGGGAATCGCTACTCCCAGGATTTTCAAGGTGAAGGGAGTGATCCAGGGCCACAAAGGAAGCAAAGAGATAGTTGTACTCATTGATTGTGGGGCAACTCACAATTTTATATCTCCTAGAGTGGTAAAAGAGGTGGGAATTCCTATCTTACAAATTCCTGAATTTAAGGTGGAAATAGGGAATGGGGATCTGATTAGAAATGATGGAAGATGTGAAGCCATAACTGTGCAGCTGCAGCAGATTATAATCACCCATGATTTCTACATTCTGGAGCTTGGAGGAACTGAAATGGTTCTAGGAATGGAGTGGCTAGCTGGACTTGGCAATGTGGAGTTCAACTTCCATAAATTGTCACTTAAGTGGATGCAGAATGGCCAGATCAGAGAGTTGAGAGGGGATCCCAAGCTGAGCAGAACTGAAGTTTCATGGAAAAGCCTGGCTAAGGTGACTAACAAGGAGGGTGAAGGGTATTCTCTGTATCAAGCTGAACTCAAGTATATACGGAATGACCCAGTTAATCGAGGGTGGATCCAGAAAATTAAAGAGGAGTTTCCAGATGTTTTCAAGGCTTTGGAGGGATTACCTCCAAAAAGGGACTGTGATCATACTATTATTATCAAGGAGGGGTCCACTATTCCCAATATTAGACCCTATAGATACCCACAGTATCTTAAGAATGAGATGGAAAGGGTAATTCCATGCTTGTCACGGCGGTAAGTCGAGTCGCGGCGCCAGCTGACCGCCATATCGCCTAGGCGACAAGGCGCCCGCCTAGGCGACAATTAGGCGAGTAGTCGCCTATATGTATATATTATATTATATATATAATTATATATTTACATATATAATTATATATTTAATTATATATTATGTATAATATATTACTAACTAAAACGCATATAACTTAGAATTGAAATCCACAATTAATAATTAAAAACAAGGTTTATTAATGGGAATTAAGATTAAAAATGTATATCTCAAATAAGCAGTGTAAAGATCGAACTACTAATTTATCAAAAATCATCAAGGACTAAATCATCTCTACGGCCTTCATTGCCCTGATCATCATCATCATGAGTAGGAGTGGGTGGTGTTTGGCCATAGTCATCTTCAACATCTTCATCATCATTTGGAAAACTTTCTTCCTCGTTGTTCATGTCTTCATCAATCAACCTTAATGAAGAATTTGAACCACGGCGTCGAGAATAAACTGATTCTCCACGAGAGCTACTAGTCCTAGGAAGATTACGACCCTGAAGATTGCTTGATGCACCCACAACTTCATCAACTTGACTCCAAAGAAGATCATCACCGAGATGAACAACGTCATTGCTGACCCATTCATTGTTCCATTGGAAATCTTCATATATTAAAGGGTTGAAGTTTGTTCCTTCTTCACGCCGCTTCTGAAATCTGGTCGCTATCTTCCGATTATATTGAATAAAAACCAAGTCATTCAACCTCTTATGCTCCAACCTGTTTCTTCTTTTTGTATGAATCTAAAATAAAGATTAAAAACATATTTGATAAGTGTTTTGATTTAATTAGTTAAAATCTTGTGTAATTTAAAAATTGTAGTTAATATTCAAAATTGTAAGTCTATTACTTACAAACTCAAAAGTGCTCCAATTACGCTCACAGCCAGAAGAGGTACAACAGAGACCAACTATGCGTTTTGCGAACGATTGCAGCT